AAATATCAGGAACTGCGACATAGCAGGGTCACCGGTAGTAGGTGCTAATAAGTAGTATAAAAATCGGTTGACAGTTTTGTGACAAAATAAACCGGATCGATGAAAAGTAGGTTAATCCCGTTAGTTGTTCACAATAGTTACGATTATAAACTCTTTATTTATAACGGAATTTAGATCTACCGTCTTGCGTAGCCTGTATATATCGCAGAAATTTGAATATTTTATGATGCCCTCAGCCGGTACATTGCGTCCGGCATTCAGCCTTTTCAATTCTGTGTCTAGTTATCCCGAATCTATCAACCTTTCTTCAGGGGAACCTTTTCTGACCCAATTATCCCATATTACTTCCACATATTCCTCCATTCTGTTGCAACGTTAGGCTAACCACAGAATTGATCTAATAACTTCCACCATAATGTACAACCGTTTTATCTATAGTAATCACATCATTATTAACCCATTCAAGGAAAATAAAGATGAACCAATTCGAATAAACTGAGCGGGAAATGACATCTAAAACGAGTGAAATATCTGTTACGAATTATACTCAGAACATGGACTTCTTTCCCATATTCATACTGATTGTTCGTTGTGCAATCTATTCATGATTTCCTATTGAAAAATGTGTATCATTAACCTCTGTAGACATTTATTTGTTCGTTCGCTTCTGTTGTGTGTGGTGTGGTTTCTCGCTCGGGTTAGCTGGGCAAGCACCAGGGCCCTTGTTGCGGCTGAACCATTCGACCGATCGATAAATGAACCCGATCGGTCGTGTGATTTCGGGCCGACACAGGAGAAGGACAGATTCCGAATCTGATGCTGTCTAAGTGTTGGCAGAGAATCACCACAAGAGATTCATAAGCTAAAAGTGCATCTCACAAACTCTCCTTAGACCCGGGTTACGATGGCCTTTGGCGCGTCCGCGTGACGGTGTTTATCGATCGTTCGGATCTGACATCTCACTGCATTCACCCGCTTACCAGTCAATCGCGAATATCGTTCACCCGTTAATGCTACAGGGTCCATTGATAGACCGAATGACCGCGGCTTTGGTGACCACTGTAGAAAATATGACCACATTCGAGTGCCTCACATTTCAGGTCAGTGCCCCACAGAATAGCAAAAAAATCTTCGCAGATTAGAAACAGACACCCAAGCTTTCTTGACCAGATGCATGACCATGAGAATGTCCACCTCGGCTTTCATGATACGTTGCTCATCTTCGATCAAAGACAAAACGTATTCCAGTAAATGTTTCCGAAACGAACATTTGAAAGACCAAATCACGCCCTGATCCATTGATTGTATGTAACATCGAAGAACTGTTCGGAGGTAGCCGTACCAATTTGACATTGGAAAATACTGCGGCTTGGTTATGGCAAGGGGCGTTGTCCATAAATATTAAAATAGATCGTCTTTGAGAAACCATTTTTCGGTTGACATCGGACGGCCAACTGTGAAATAACGTCGAAGTCATCCGTGCGTTCTTTGAATAATTATAACTTCATGGAAGGCTTTTTCGATCTACATCGTGGAGTTTGAAACTTTCCAATCACCAACGGTGATAACTTTTCTCCAGTCATACTCCCACAAAGCAGTAACGTGACTCTCTCTTTGG